AAGCCCTGGGTTTGATCCTCAGCACAGCAAAAATACCCAATAAATAAATAAATAATAACATTATTAGGAAAGAACATCTGTAGTTGCTCAAATGTGAATAGCTAAAATCAACACTGCACTGTTAAAAAAGAATATAATATTATTACAAGGTACTTAGGAGTAAAGAACAATGAATAGTATACATCTAGTGTTTTAATAATATACAATCATGTTCTGATCAACAGTATAAAACATATAAAAGAGAATCTTGCTTTCCATTTGTACATTGCAAAACTTTACAAGGTTAACACGTACCACATAAAGATGCTCTAAAGCTATTGTTTGAATACTACTAACAAGAAGTTATTGCTGTCTGGTGTTAATCAGTTACATCATCACTTCTAATACCAGTCATCAGATCCATGGGATCTCTTAATTTCCAAGAGATTATACAGCAGTATTATTTTGTAGTCAAATTTATGTCAATAGGGCTTTTTTTAAAAAAAAGAAAGTAAATGCATCTAAAAATGTCTATCTAGGTGATGGGGTGGGGATTCTTAATCCTTCTGCTTGTGATTCAGGCATGACAAGCTTAGGACCTCAAAGGATACACTGTGACTGTGCAGATGTACATAAAAGCAAAACCACAATTAGTTGCTTCAGTTTTTATCCTAGGTATAGTTTATGAAAAAAGTATAAAAATCCTCTTGCACTTTTATTTCTGTAAAAGTCATTCAACTATTTACCAATCCTCTTGAAGTCTGCCCTTTGAAATGTAACTGATAGATCAAGGTTATCCTTCACTCTGGAAAATAAAAGGTCACTTGGGAGGGCAACAATGTCAGCTGCAAAAGCAGCAGGAATAGTCACTATACCTCTATTTTACTACCAGTTGGCCTTTAATAGAGAGACAGACTTAGGAAATATAGGTGTCTGTTTTATATTTCCTTTGCTTTCTCTCCACTGGTTAGACATTCTGCCCTCTAGTGCATGGGCAGCCATCATGGGAACTCTGTCCAGGTTCCTGATTCTCAGTGACAGATGCTATCTTTGTGTTTTAGAATTCTCTCGGCCTGGGAATCACTCACTCTGTGGAATTTACCTGCAAGTCCAGGTCCCTGTGGCTCTTCTGATGGCTCTCAACCTTGGCTGTGATTTGTAATGACTTTAGGAGTTTTAAAAAGTACAAATGCCTGGGTTTCACTCATAGAGAATGGTATAATTAGTCTCAAATATAGCTGGGTTTTAAGGGTTTTGAAAGGTCCCCAGGTGATTTCAAGGTGTAGCCAGGGAAGCTTCTTTAGGTTGGTTATGATAAGACTCTTGGTAGATTTCATAAACATGTTGAACATTTTTATGGCTGTCTATATACTTCTAAGTCTGTATTGATAAATGAATATCAATTGTAAATATAAAATCAAAATAATTTGTGTTAAGTCAGATTAGCATATATAAACCCCAAAGTGCTATATTATTGCTTTTGTTACATTTATAAGGTCATATTGGCAGATGATCAGAGTATATATGCATTTGGATTCTTCTAGTAGTAATAACAGACAGTAATCCCTACAGTGATCTTTTTCTATAACAGACTGACCAGAACCTGATTCAGATCAACACTAAGTTAGTGGGCTTTTTATCTCTTCTAATTTTATAAATATTGAATTGATGCTTCTTCTATTCACCATGACAATAACCCAACTTAGCTCTGCAATGAGGCTGTACCTTCTTATAAGAAAGACTTCTCCTGCTTTAGTTTAACCCTTTGAAGCAAAGATTTCAACTTCAATTTTTAATTCTATTGCAGTCTTTCTAAAGTACTTCCTTTAATAGAAAAATGAGTTTCCTAAGAATATACTTTACAAAGATCAGTGCTACATAAAGAGGACAATATTCTGCAAAAAAAGTTACAAAAATAGATTTACATTTCAAAACCTGTCTGAATGTGTCTTTTTTTAATAGTACAAAGATGTTTGTCCCTAGTATGGCAGGTGTGGCTGGGAAAAGAGGCAGAGATTTCTGTTCAGTTAAGGTTTTATAGCTTCAGGCAAGGACATATAAACAGATCATTGTGTTATAATAAAAATGTGTGCTTATCAAAAGAAAGAAATACAAAGTACAGATTAAGGGCAGTTTCAACAGCTGCCTCTTAAGAGGGAGCAGTTCACTTAGTGGGGGTAGGGGGAAGGAGGCTGATTTTTACAACTTACTTTTTAGAAAATGCCAAGTGTCCTGATAAAGGACACTTTGATAACCTGATAGCCTGATAAAGCTATCAAGGCTCAGATTTGGATATTAGCTAATTTCAGCATAAACTGCTGGTAGTAAGGAACTGGAAGCTTTTGGAATGGTCAGTAGTGGCCAAGTCTTAGGCATAGGGACAACTATGTATTTTTCTTTCTGTGACATGGGAATCTGTATACTACCCAGGCTTTTTTATTCTACCATGACTTAGAGCATGATATAGGCTTGCTGTAGGCTTGTGCAGCTAAAGGAGACCTTGGAGATTTGTATATTAGAATGAAGTGGGAAAAACCTTTGAGATTCTGATTGAATTGGTATCCAGAGACTCTAGACATCTCTTTTAAACTCTCAGGATTCTTGTTTGCAGTGAAGGTGAGACCTGCCTTGTTAACATCAGGCAACAACTGCATCCTACCCATATGCAACCAGAGAACTTGATGTGAGTGAGTGTGGGTGGGAGTCCCACTGGTGAGTGCCAACGCTTGCCCTCTCAGACATTCCATTTACACAAGTGATTCTGAAATCTTTGGTGCATGAAAATTTGGTGCACAATGGGATAACCTGGGGGAATACCCTGAAGAGTCCATGATTTTGGCTGCACCTGAGAAAAACAAATCAGAATCCTTTGATTGGAACCAAGAATTCCAAAGGGCATCCCAGCCTGGGACAAACTCTTTTTGCACTTACATAATCCATGGTTCTTCAATGTCTGCAGCTTAGGTGGAGGGTCTAAAACAAACTTAATAACTTGCAACAAATACCTATGCTTTCTCATCTTCTGCTGGAATGTAATACAGTACCTCCATTAGGCTCCTACCTATAGAAAACAGTGGCAACCGAACTCACAACAAATTTAGAGTTTGAAAGATTCATCCTTTTTAAAATCACGAGGTGGTAAGTATTTTTCATAGTGTGCAATGATAGAGACTTCTTACACATTGTGAAAAGATGTATGCAAGATTTGTGACGTGGTGTAAATGTTAGTTCCTGACTCTCACTTTCCTCTGGACTCTGTTTCTAAAGGCCAGATCTGAGGCTAAGGCCACAGGCAGAGGCCTTCCAGGAACTGAAAGAAGAAGAATTAGCAGATACATGCTCAGGAATATATTAGGGACTGATTATCAATGAGGAAGAATGGAAGGGAACTTTGAGATTGGACCTGTCAGGGCTGTGATATGGAAATAATGGGTAGCTCCTCTCAAGTAAGGCACTGGGGTCCTTAAGAGGGCTCTGACTCTGCAGTTCTCATAGCCTGAATGTCTCCCTGAATAGACACAGAACATTTTGGGAAATACAATCTTAGAATAAATAGAAATAAAATTTTATGCAGGAAAAATTGAAGTAAAAAGAGAAGAAAAGCAAATTTGAATAGTTTTTGTAGTTTATTTTGTTATAGGAAAGTATTCCAAAGTACAAAAATAGTAGAATTTCATTGCTACAATTCAACTGACTTAAGATTGCTCTTGCTCACAAATCATCTGCTTCTTGACAAATAAGTGACAGCAGAAAGTGAGTCATTCTGTTTCCCATGTCTGCATACACATTGACTAAGGTTTTTCTTTCCATTCTGAGTACTGAGGTGAATAGATAATGAAAGTAGTTTTATGATAATGGCACATCTCAGATTCTTAGAATGTTCCTTAATCTTCTCACTAATCATTTTAAGAGATGGTAGCTCAGAAAAGAAGGGGACATTTAGGGAACCTGGGGAATGCTGCAAACCTAATTCCAGCTTAAAGGAGCAGCATGCCAAGATGACTGAAATTGCCTTTAAACCTACTTCATCCGTAAATTTCTCCAGCAATGTTTTCTTGGTTGCGATTCCCTCTGCTGGGAATATATTTTTCATTTCCCTTGTAGCTTGGACTTTGGTCATGTTAGAGGCCCAGCTGCAATATCACCTCCTTGATGTACCTTCTAGGTCTCCCCAGGAAGAATTCACTCTTGCCTGCTCTGTGCTCTTGGTATTTAGCTGATATACAATATTTATCATATTGCTATAAGGGTAGTATTTATAAGTCCACTTCCCTTACTATATTGTGGACTTCTTAAAATAGGAATTTCTTCCTTGATGAGATGGAAGGAGAAAATGTTGACAATGAGGGTTTAAAACATTAAAGAATTGCTCTTAACCAATTAGGTTGCAAAGATAAGAAAATTAGGGGGAAAATGTTGGTATCCTAACTAGTTGAATAGTCAAATTATAGGGGCATTGTTTTAGGATGAATTTCTCCCCCCTTAAAACATCTAAAGATATGAAAGCACCCTTATCAATTTCAAACTCTAATTTCACATTTGCCATTTGAATTCCACTCTACTTATAATGTTGTCTTTCTCTGCACCTGTACAATGTGCCTATGCTGGGTGCTTGTTCTTGCATAGTAGACTTAGGGCCTAGATATTCTTTCATGAAGGGCTAGGAGGGGTTTTGGGG